GCCCTGGATACCTTACAAGAGACTATTTGCTGACTAATTATCATCTCAAAGGTTTATCCTGTGGGTGTGTTGAAGGCCCACTGACCTTTACTTTGAAATCCCTATAAAGAGAATAAACTTAAAACCATCTAGGGAGCATGTGAAATACCTCTCCTGCTGCAAATCCACAGGATCGGAGGTATTCCTGGAGGAGCCAACAGTCTTATGCTCCTTGCCGATGCTTAAGTTTCACGAGGAGGTTTGGGGCCCCTTGCTAACATCTTTGGCACATGGTGGCCCTTGCGTTCCTGCAAGGAGAGCCTGTATTTCTTGCTTCTTGGGGCACGGCTGCAGAGCGTTTCGGCAGGTCCTGACAATGAAGGTGGCACACAGCATCCAGCTCACCTGGCAGCGCTGGTGCCGCTGTGTTTCTTCGTGTTAATTTAAGTTTGGTTAAATTGCTTGCAGCACTGAGTTGAGATCTCGGTAGATGCAGTTTGACAGACAGGAGTGACACATGTTCGATTTGCACGTTTGTGACTCTTGCTTCTTTCTTTTTAAATCCTGCCTTTTCCTTTCCCTTGCCCTCTTGGCATGTAGATGTGAGTTTTCCCCACCGTATAAGTTAGATGTTAAATGGTTCCTGCATCTTTTTGATCATTATAAAAATATCCTATGAAGATACAACACTTGAACAGAATTTTCCCTTAAAGTCCAGGTAGTTGCCAATGTGAATTGAATTGAACACATAAATATATTTTTGTGCTGTTACAACCTGCTCTGAGGCTTGTAAACTGTATCCCTATTTTCCTGCGGAAGCCTCCTGGATATATTCTGGGGTCTCTGCTGCTGTGAGCTTTTGGTTCAGCTCCGTTCCACTTCATTAAGCTCTGCTCCTTCCCTGCCACTTCAGAGGCAAACGCCTTCTCCAAAATCCAGGCTGTTTGGCGTTCATTTTTGCAGCTGAAGAGAAATCCTTTACTACTGGAATCCGTTCAAGGGGCACCAGGAGTGGATAAGCACTACAAGGCAGCAGGTGCTGTTAAGTTCCTACTGAGTTCCTTAAAAGGGGAAGGGATAGCGACTAATTATTTTTGTCAAGGAAAATTCCAGAACGGGATCTAATTTTGTTCTTGCCCAGAATTATTTCTCATGTGTAAGAAAACAGTGGTTGCATTTATAAAAATATTAATGTAATGTGGTTTAAACAGCTTGCACTGGCTGACCGCTTCAAGAAATATGGGGATAGGATCAGAATATATTAATGCTATGTGTTTTTAGTAGCAGTAACGATGACAAATTCTGAGGTGGCTTCTAGGCTGAAATTAAATCATGGGCATGTCTGATACAACTGTACCATCCTAACGATTTTAGCCCCAAAATAGACATTTCATTGCCTGTTAATAGACAAATCTGTTGACCTCAGTTGTGAACTAGGGAGGGAGATATGAGTGTGCTGGAGAGATCTGAGCAGCTGTGGCCAGTGCGGGTGCAATGTGGAGGCTCTGCAAGAGTCGCTGCTGATGTGTGCGCCTGGGAAGTCCGTCGCTCTGAGACACCACTGAGATGCTGCTCTTCTGGCTTCATGGGAATAAGCCCTGCTGAAGTCTCCAGTCCAAAACTGGAACTGGCAAGCTAGGTCGTGAGCTGTGTAATTGAGTCTCTTTAGAGAGATCCCAAACTCTGAGAGCTTCTTCCAATTATACTGGTTACTCTTAGATTGAAGAACTAATTTGTATCTCATATAGCTTTTACAGCCCTATCATCCACATGAATTAACGAGTTTTCCCCACTAGGTATGAGGATGAAATGAATTCTGCAGAGAATAGCTCTGCACAGGTGCCACTTCCATCACATTATGTAAATAGCCTGTGACTAATAGAGAAACCTATGAAATGAAATAAAAGACATCAGTCAGTGCATTTGCATGGAAACTAAGCTATATGCCAAAGGAACCTTGTTTAAAAATGAACAATAGTAGACAAGATAATACCAAGGTTGTCATTGTGGAGCATTTTTAAGTGGCTTCTTAGCATAGAATTGAAAGGACACTGTCATTTTATATTTATGGAGTCTATGAGGTTCCGCTAATTACATTTGCAGTCCTCCTGACCTTTTGTTGTGAGTGTTGCTATACATCTGCTATTTTCTCATATTTCAAAATGATGATGAGGAAAAACAAATATTTATATGCTGAAGCAAACTTCATACATATCCAATAACTTGCCTTATCACCCACCTACAGTGACGGCCTGGGGGAAATGGGGAATTGGAGGGGGAAAAAAAAAAAAAGTGAGACTGTGAATATGAAGGATGATTCTTCTCCTGAAAGCCAAGTCCTGTTTTATTTCCATTAAGTAACATCTGGAAGCCCAAGTAAGAACATGGCCGTGTTCTGTTGGTCACGGCCATGTTCTGTTGGTCACTCTGTGCATTTTGTAAAACAGCCCCTGCTCCGCAGTCTGTGCACGTGAAACAGAAGAAGGAAGTTGAGACGAGAAGGTGCGGGGGCTAAAGGACTTGGCTAAGTTAAACCATGATGGAGCTAGGAATTCACCTTTTGTGAGTCTCATGATAATATTTTGGTTAAAAGACCTATCTGTCAGCGCTGATGTTTTGTCTTGCCCTTTTTACTCTGCTCCATAGGCCATTTCAACCTGGAAAATGTCACAAACGTTTTAATGTATTTCCTTGCCAGCAGGCTAGATCCAGACCTAGGCTTGGATGTGTATGTGCTATGCACTCTGCAGGACAGGCTGTGTTTGGGTTAGTTTTTCTCTGATTGTGTTACCATCCGTAATTCCTCAATATATTCTGTGAAATAGAATAGAGTCTTTTAAGTACTATGTCACACGAGATGGAAGTCATATAGTGTTCTGCTGACAACCGTAACTATTTTTCCTTGTCCTCCCTTCTCTAACCAAGCTCTTCTGCTATTTCTAAAGTTTTCTGAACTAACTGTCGCTCCGACTCTCCACTCTTGTGCTATCAGTGTGTCCTGTCTCACTTGTGCCATCCTCTGTCTTACCTCGTCTTCTGTCTTGTTGGCTAGTTCTGCTTTGTTGTGCTTACACGAGCACAATGATCTTGGTGCATTTGCAACAGTAATGGGGAAAGAGGGTGGCAATTTGTTTTTGTTTGTTTGTTTTTTAATTTCAAAGGGTCCCAAATGCTGGGACATCCTGAATGCTGGGGCAAAGCTACTGCGTCATCTATCTGCAATTCTGTGATATCCTTCTTGGGCAACGGGCAGCATGTGCTCTTGCTAACCTCAAGCTGTATCTTCTGACAGTGCTGAACAGAGTTCCTTACGTAGCTTTCGTAACCTTGTGCTGGCATTTCCTTCAATGGACGTGCTAATTTCTGTGTCTCTCTTCCAGCCAGCCACCCTTTTCCTAAGGTGTATAGGAGTATAATAATCTCTGAGATGTTTATTCTTTCACGTTTGGTTAAAATTGGCCAAAGGTTCAAATGTTGTTAGGGTCAAATGGAAAGAAACATAATGGCATAAGCTATGTTTCTGTAGAAAAGTAGACTAAAATTGAGATGCAACTCAGAGCCGTGGCAAAGAGCTTGCTAAATAACTGTGACATAACATAGATAATAACATACTGAAATTGCCTTATATGGCCAGGCTTCTGTACGTATGAAGTTACCTGGCTTGTGGTAATTTTTCTTTCTTTCTAGAATCTGGCTAAGATTCAGACACTTCTCAGAGGCAAAATTTGTCTCCCTGAAAGTCAATTTGGGCATTTTTCAGAATTTTTACCTGCTATGGTACAGTTTAGAGCAGTGTTTATTTAGAGTTATTTGGGGGTAAAATATTCCTGCCTTGCAATTGAAGCGGTTGTGATGGAACCTTAAAAAAATATAGAACGTGAGTGTCATTTGTCACTTGTAGTGGACCAGAGTTGGGTAAAACAAAAGCATCTCATTTTCAAGAGTGGAGTCTCTCCTAATAATATTTAGTTGCATTTTAATTGCAATTTAAATTTGCAGTTTAATTTTTAATTAGTTGCATTTAACTAGTTAACATTGTTGCATCCCAGGAGTTTTTATCATGTGTAGAAATAAATACTGACAATGCTGGGAAATATAGTGTGAACATTTTGGCTTAAACAAGAAAAATCAAAGTATTTTTCTCCTAGTTAGGTACTGATGAATTAAAGGGCAGTAGTAGATGCTACTTTAGAAAAGAGTATGTACCAGTTAGGCTGCAATGCAGCACTCAGAAGAGCTCTCTCAATATTTGTGCTGCAGATAACATTTCCTGAGCTGTTGAAGAGAAATCCACTCTGACAAATTGCAAAGATTATTCAATGTATCTGCAAAAAGTCTAAGAAAATAGCATTCCAAACATGTTGATTATATTTGAGTAGAAATCGTAAAGTACTGTAGTAAAAAGTTGCTCTGTCCTTGAGGCATGAATTCACTTGAAATCTCCCTGTTTTATGACCCTGTCCTTCTTCACCAAAAAAGCTGTCAACAGCATGAGCCCTAAGAAGGTTAACTGGCTGTTTGCATCAGTTGTTGTTAAGCATTTATAACTCTGAGAATTTCCAGTGTTTTTAAGTCCTTATCTCTTCTGGAAACAGTAAATAACTCATTTTTCCTTGATTTTTTTTTTTTTAAATCTAATTAAAGTGAACATGTGAAATGCTAAACCAGCTTCCAGAACTGTTGGTATGAGAACTGTCCTATTAAAGTTACGAGCAGTAACACTGACCAGCTGGGCAACAGAGCAGTTTTGTACAGGGTAGTATTTATTCATCAGCAGATAGGAAGAATCAAAATGTTTAAATAACACGCAACAATGACACAGCTTTTGCATGTCTACCTAATTACAGTCAATGATCAATTGAGCTGTCTGGGTCTGGGGAATTATTTTCACAATGAATGCCATTTTTCAAGTATCTAACTCAAATTATATGTGCTTACAGTTAAACCAATTAACTATAAAATACAAATATATACAAGGATGCATTCACCTTCATGGATGTTTATAAATACATTGCTCTGGTCTACGTGACTAACCCACTTGAACAAAGCTCTAATGCTGGTTTTTAAATACAGAAAGCTAGAAGGAGTACCTGTATTCTAGAACTCTACCCAAATATACAAAGAAAGTCTCAGCAGTGATTTTTTTTTTTTAAAATTCCACGTTTAGGCGTCCCCAGTGAAGCTCACAGTGCTCCCTTAGGTTACATTATGTAACAAAACATTCTAGTGAGCAAGACAGTTATAACTTTGCCTAGTTGCTGTACTAATAAAATAAGGGAAAATAAATTTCTCAGCATTACGTAACACATGCAACATTTGTCAGTATGATATTCTGATTTGAGTAGTCTTTGAATATTGTATATTGCACAGTTACAAATACATCACTACCATAACACATTGGAATTCATAATGTTTACGTATTAAAAACAAGTAACCTCTCTGTGTATCTGATCCTGTTCCTATGAAAGTCAATAAACTCCTATTGACTTGTCCGGAAATTAGAGATCAGACTGCATATAAAGCCAGTGCCTGTAATGGGGGCACGAAGGGTGACATCTTCAAGACAATGATGATACTCTATTCAGTGAGCAGTGATTTGTTAAAAGATACTGGATAACTGAATGCTCGGAGCAGAAATGGAGTACCAGCACTCGATCTGAATGAAAGGGTAAGGAAGGAACAACAAGAAGAAATCAAGGCACAAGCGTTATTATTCACACTGGATTCTGAAGCAGTCTCACTGCTTAGAGAGCTTCCAGCTGGTAACGAAGCACTCTTATGCCAAGAACCAGACTGGAAAAATTGATTACTTATCTCTGGTGAGGATGTCAGGAGCAGACGACTGGTGTTCCAAAAAGCAATAGCAACCTTTTGTTTGTTTGTTCAACTGTTTAATGTTACAGAAATCTACCGTCTAAGCGCTCATAGGGGAAGATAGTAAAGGGAGACTATCCATCAGCATTCCCGACCTTCTGATATAATGACGGCAGTTTCGGCTGGCTCACTGACTATATAGTTTAGGCTAGCGTTCATCTCATGACTGTATTGAAACCACTGAGCTCTAAAGAATAGCACTGTTAAATATGTAGGCCTTTTCTCTGTGTTCATTCCAAGTTCAGGTTTGCACACAGGGATGTTCTGTTAATGGCACTTTTGCAGGATTTCACAATCTTGCTCATGTCAGAAAACTGCTAAGAGAGAAAACAAGGCAAAACTGCATAGTGTTTGTCAAGTTGGCTTACGCGTAGCAGGAGAGAATTTTCTAAACCTGCAGTTTTGTAATGGAAGTATTTAGACATTTCCTCCCCTGGCATGAAAAGTAATACAAATACAGCACTTCCCACTTTGAGGCGTGGCACTTAAAAACATCTGTGCTACAAAGGTTAAGCACGCTTGGGCATGCCTACAGGATTGGGATACTGGTGTGGGAGCCACTTAGGCCAACTTCACACAGGGGAATCTTAGCTGGGCCTGATTCAGACACTGAAGACTATCTGAGATACTTGATGTGAGAAGAACTAAGAGTAATCTGAACTATCGTGTCTAATATTGATGAATTAGATTATATGGCATATGCTTGTCAACTGCTTTAAGCACGGGCCCTGAAGCAGTAAAAAGTGTGTTTACATTTAAGAAAGACTGTGACAGAGGTTTGTGTTCCAGAAGCTCAGAGGAAGCTAGCTGATAAGCTTGCCTTAGCAGGTATGCTACCGTCATTTGCTGAAACAGTCCTTTCAGTGAATGATCTCATAACAATGTTAAACGACTTGCTGTACGGGTACTGGAATCTCCAAGTGAAATTTTAGTATCAGATTTGCTCTCAGTTAAGCAAGTGAGATGGAGATAATTAATCACTTAGTTACCCTGGACTGGCACCTGTGTAACAGAGAACAAACTCCATCACCTCCCCTTCAGCAGACACATGTACCAGCCACTCTGATTATGCATGCTGGGTCAGCAGCGCTGTTCACTATGAATCACTGTTTTATACCTGCTTAAATGCCTGTTGCTCTGGACAAGCAGATGATGTGTATCAGCAGTAAAGTAAAGCGAGCCTAGTGATTTATTTGACTGAGGGTTGGAATTAATGGAAATAATTAATGCTAAGATCCTGTGAACAGTCTGATCATTAGCCTCTACTAAATATTTAGCTGTCTCCTGTTTTTCTGTCTGTGAAGCACAAAGCGGGTGTTTAAGGTGTGATGACCTCTGCACTCTATTTCACATGCATTATATTTGACCTTATTAGGAAAAAATCTTGAATTATGTCACAGCTAATCCACATCTGTTACTCAGATCCTTGATTACCGTGCCACTAATTCTGCCACTCTTACTCTGGTGAGCAGCGCTGCCCTTGTGACTTCAGTGGGAGCAGGTCCTGGTTTCAATTGCTCAGCGTGAATCAGGAAGCGCTTAACAATGACCCAAATTTGCAAGAGCTTGCCTGGCTCTCCTCACCAAGCTCCCAGGGAGAGCACAGTAACACTGACAGTTTGCACTCCTGCTGTAGAAGCAGAACAAGAGAACTGTGACCTGACTAAATCTTTGAAGGGCTGTATGAATATGGCAAGTGATGGTCCCTAACCAAGAGAAATTTATATCCTTAAGTTAAGTTTCATTGTACAATAAACATCAAGCAGCTGGCTGTAATCTGAATGTTAATTCTTGTTGCTTCACTGGGATACCAGGAAATGGCTAAAGTAAGAGAATAATTTACAAGGAATTTTACCTACAGGTATTCAAACAAACATGGCTGTTTTTTTTTTGGAACGCAAAAGAATAAAGGCTTTAGTGTTACAGACAACTAATTATATTTAAATAATTTGAACAAGAGAACGTAAGTTAGCTCCTAAGATGGTGAATTGTGGGACTTGGGTATTCTAAGTGTCTTATTTAAACCACAATTAGAACCTATTATTTATGTTGCCATTACAGAATAGATGAAGAATATATCTGGTTATTTTTTACGATCAAGTTGGAAAAAGAGTTTTAGTATGTTTTACTTTGAGAGAAATTGCTTTCATTATTACACCTTTGGGCTTCCATGCCCTGCGTTATGAACAAAAAATATTGTCAAACACAGTCCAGCAAAAATGACGGCATCTGCCTCAAGCATGGCATGGCCTCTTGCTAGGGCAGCAAGAGGGAAAGATATTTCTGAAATTAAAGCACAAAACTAATTTTCTGTTCAAAGAGAAACCCATAATCAGTATAAATAGCTGAAACAAATGAGTTACTCTGGATTCATAGCATGTTTGTTTGATAATGGAGGTTCTAAAAGGCCTGTTTTAAGGACTAGTGGTGAGGATAACAAAGAAGGCAATGGTCTGTACATCATTGTTGGAGGAGAGTTGGAGGAGAGTACAGTGCTATTAGGGGAAACATTAAGTGCATGTTTCATCTTGAACAGTGGCAAGCTGGGTGGAATTTGCAGTGCATCAAATGAGGCCCCTATCAGACTGATGTGAAAAAAGAAATTGTAACTAGCCTTTTTCCTGGTGAAAGTACAATTTCTAGGCTGAACTGGTATTAAACCAAAGCAAATGAGGTACTAGGGCTGAGAAGATGTTGGTGGAGGTTAGGATAATTTAGGGGCCTTCCCTAAGGTAAACTTGCCTAAAAGCTGTTGTGCAGGACAACCAGACAGCTGAGAGGGGAGGCACGTAGGGTTGAAAATTTAGAAGGCTGGAAAACTGTCTGTGAAAAGGCCGATGAAGTTGGGAGTGCCACAGTATCCATGGTTTACTGGGCAAAGCCAGGCGTTCAGGCAGGTCAGCTGCGTCACTGGCTGAGATGGAAACATTTTTATTGTGCTAAGGTACTACGTCAGCGACCTGAAAACTGTGGATTAAGAGAGTAAGATGTTAATATTGTTGATAATCCATTGCTATTGATCTTTAAGACTCTTGGAAGTGGTTTATTAGTGTTAATATAGTCATAAAGTGCCTGCTAACAGTGCGCCTTTGGGAGTGGATTCCTGTTTTTGCTGAACTAAATGGCAAAAATTTCCTCTAACTTTAGCAGTAACAGGAACAAGACTTACAGAATAAGGTCACTTGCAATAAAATACAAAATTTTGGAAACTGCTATTGGATGATTTTAGATATTCACAGGGGCAGTATTTAATTTTAGAGAACCCTTGGATATATCAGTTTGCAGAGCTGAAAGGGCAATGTTTTCATATTCCTCTTGTGATGCTGAGCATCTGCAGTGATGAACTAATACTACCAAATCCTTCTGAAAATTCTTGTTGAGAAATCCATAAAAGATGGGATTGATACAAGTTGAGATCATCGCCACGAGGTGGCACAGTATAAATGCTAGATTATGGTTACAGTTCATTAGTGCCTCATAGTTCCAGTCAAAAACAACATTGAATATATTGAGAGGCAACCAGCAAGCTGCGAAGGTCACAACAACTGATATCAACATCATATTAATCCTTTTGTTTTCACTTAGTCTGCTCACGTTCTCTCTCATCCTATCTATTTTACCATGTCTCCTCCGGAGACATAAAAATATCTTGAGATAGCAGATAAAAATAAACCCCAGTGGGAAGCAGTACTGGAAAACCAGCAGACTAGTGGTAAAAATCAATCGTTCCATAACAGACGGCCATGCTTCGATGCAAGCAACTTTGTTCTTGTAGAAGTCATTATGGAAAGACAGATGTTTGAAGGGTTCATCAGTTAATTGGTGAAATATTAAAAAAGGAATAGATATTACAAGGGAAAACCCCCAGATGAAAATAATCCCCCAGTACGCATGGGAAATACTAGGCTTCCAGCCACGTGGGTTCACAATTAACTGGTATCTCTCAATAGCAATCAGTACAAGTGAGAAAACGGAGACTGTGACAGACATACTTTGTATGAAGGAGCTTATTTTACACATAGCTTCCCCAAATATCCAGTAGTCCATTAAGGTATATGCAACTGTGACAGGAATGCACACAACACAGATTAAGACATCCGATAAAGAGAGGTTAGCAATCAAGATGTTTGTAACATTTTGAGCTTCTTTCTGTCTCTGTATTATAATAATCAGGCAAAGATTTCCAAAAAGCCCTACTATTGTAACTAAAGCGTAAGCTGTAATAAGCAAAAATACTGCAGGGAAGGAAGGCTGACATGTATCAAAGTTTAAAAACTGGGAATAGCTGTTGTTTGAGATAGTCTGATTAGACAAAACCTCACTAGGATGCTGAATGGCTTTATCCATCATGAAGCATCTCCCAAGCTACGGACAAAGCTTAACTATAAATATTTTGCATGCATATCCGTGTGTGTCTCTCCCCTTACTATTTGTAAGCTATTTTGCTTGGAGCTTTCCAAGGCTACGATTAATATGATTCTATCTTTGTACTTGTGCTTTGCATTAGATTTGCTCAAAGTTTCACAGTTGCTTACAGCACTGAAGAATCCTGAAAAGAAAAGCAAATGGTAAAGTATTCTTGTTTTCGTGTAGTTATCTGTATGGGGGTTGATGCTACTTTTCTGAAGTTCTGCACTGACAGTGTTACAAAACCATAGATCTCTTTTACATAACTGACTGTGATGTATGAGAAATAGCAGTGACAGCTCTGTTTAAAGTTACATGATGATTTACGTACAAACCCCCTCATTTATCAACTGTGGATAAATTTTACTTTCCAAGACAAAATATTTTAAGATTTGTCTCAGCCAAAGATTTAGCAAGGTTTGAGGAATTTTGATGAGACTAGTCTGCTGCTTTTTTATTATCAGAAAAATAAAGAATCGGGTCCTGCCATCAAATGGCTAACTTCAGTCATCACACTTACTTTTTTTCTCTAAAACTATACAGCAATATGATAATGAGATAATATGCCAAATCCCTCTGACTTAATTCAAAAAGATATGTGCTTGAGCATAAGTGATATTCAACACGCTTATGAATGACATGTTATGGGAGTTTCCTTTCCTGCATATGTATATGTTAAAGATGGCATGTCCTTATTACTCAATCTAATCTGAGAAAAATGTAAGCCAAACAGAGATTGCATCTTAAGTTATCCAGACAATTATTTCCTTATCAATAGTTGCCAGCGGTTGTCTTCTTTTTGCTTCCCAACACACTGTTCATTGTCGTACAAGTTTGACAAATGATACCCCCCAAAATTTACTGTGGTTAAATGCAGTATGTACTCTAGAGATGCAGAGTTGATTTCTTTCCAATCTAACTTAAACAGTTAAGCAAAAATCTGATAGTAATACATTCCTGTTGTTATAAAACTAATAATAATGGGAAGAATTAGATTCAGCAGACTGTCTTGATGGGTTTGAATTTAGCAGTGAGTTAAAAAGTTAACCTCAAATCAAAGGCTCACCAGCCTTCTGGCCAGAAAGAGGCTCTATGTTTCCAACCTGGGAAAGGAGAGGGAGGGGAAAAAAAAAAGGATGTAAGAGTTACTTTTAACATTGAAAGATGGGTAAATACGTCCTCTATGTATACACCTTTCAAAATATAACTTTTAACTCACCTTAATTCCTTTGGAAGTAGGAATTACTGGAAGATTAGCTGAAAGGAAGTCAGTTCTTCACCCCTAGTAATAAATACCATCGTGTGAGAGCCCTGAGGAGACAATGGGATGAAAAAGCAGAGGAAAGTTAGAGGATGCACAGAAGCGAGGATGTACCGCTTGTCATTAATAGAAATAATTTGTGCATCTGTAGAAGACTTACTAGCCTTTTTCCATAAACAATTGCCATTATTTAATCACCAAGGAATAAAAAATGTTTAGTGGCTCGCACGAGGTTAACCACCAACTCAGGGCTAAACTGAGACCTGTGATTTTTGTAACTATTTCATTACCCACAACCAACCAAAGACGTTTTCAGTAGAAGTTATGTCCTGGACTGCTTTACTCTGATACTTTTGCTTCACATTGGTTTAGGTGCTTCAAATTAAGAGTCTGCAAAAAAAAAAAAACAAAAAACAAAAACCATTCACAGGTTCTATTACCACTCCAATTCTGATTTAAAAAGTACTTTTCAACTGGGGCAGTCATGTTGGCTGTATGTTTATGTGGCTATATATGATCCTGGTGTTCCAAATTAGCTTAAATTTACCATAAATTCAAACAGTCATATATTAAGCCCTGTAGTCTTCCTAAATAATCCAGCTGACCCTGCTAACAGCTATATTGAGGGAGTGGCATAGACACTTGCAGAGCCACACTGCCAAAGCTGTGAAGTCTAGTGGCTCAGATAGACTTTGTAATCCTTCACAGGTGTCCCCACTCCTGTAGGTCAGGAAAGAGAGCTATGTACTCTACTCTGTGTGCCCCAGCTTGCAAAATCCCTTCTCGTGCTGAGTTCTGAAGTAGTCAGACCCCATGGGCAGAGATGATGTGGCTGGGTGGATGAAGACAGTGGCAAACAGCACCTTCAGGCAACATATTTCCTGGAATGCACTGTAAATTACTTTTCCTTAGAGTATCAGTAATTGCCTGGCTGGATTTACCACACAGAGGGATGCATGTGCTGGAAGGACAACCAGTGGTAAATGTTGCACTGATGAGCCTTGCTGCCAGTTCTAGGTGTGTAAGGGACTAAAGTCTGGCTGTGTCCTCCCAAGGATGATTTTCCTCTTTGCACTGTCCGTTATCTTCACCTGCTTCGCACAGATCTGAACCCTGTCCTTTAAGAAAAGACTAGGTATTAGCAGGGGATTTGGCTTGGAAACAAGATACTTTCAAAGACAAGCTCTCCCCTTCCCTGCTTTCTGTTAAGCAGAAGAAGCTGTGGGGCCTCACAGGACATGAGGCTGAGCCAGTTTTGTAATGTTTTATGCACTATTTGCTACTCTCGCTTATTTATCCATGGCTGCACGGCAGGGTTTGATAGTGAGTGCTGGATGTCCTCTCCCAGGAATTCATTGTGGGTCTTAGGGCTTCTTTGGCACTTTCTAGCTTTAAGGAAAGTCCCTTTACTGACCTTCTAATCAATTCGCTCAGCACATTAGCTTTAGATACACTGATCGTGTACGTTGTCATTCTTTTTTCAGGAAGAGGATTAATTTCCTTTCACTATTCACTTTGTACTACAACCTAAAAAGTGTACTCTTCAGTACATGTCATGCTAAAAGGTAATTTAAACATTTCCTTGGCAATAACACCATTGTACCTGTCTTGTTTAAAAATCTGGAGTATTCATAGCATTAGAAAAATAAGCTTCACTAGTATGCACTGCAGCATGTTGAAATATGTTGCAATTCATATTGGCATTTTTAAAACTGTTTATGAATTGCGATTCATAAATATTAACGGACTGAGCATCCTTCGGCCACGACTGCAGCTGATGTCAGAATCGCACTGAAGTGTTTAATATGAGAACCAATGTCTGTATTACTTACTTCAATCCCTAATCCATGCATTTTACAAAAGATTCTCTGCCATCAATAGTGAGAGTTTACCAATAAAAGAAATTATAATCCCCTTAGCCTAGTTCTTTTATTCCTCTAGATGCAGAAACATTACCGAATCATGTAAAAGCAAAATAAAGTTAAAAGCATAGTGTAAAATCAAATGAGTTTTAAAAAGATTCTTTCCCTGAGCACTTTGTTACGTATACTAAAAATAGGTAGTCCCATCCCTTCAAAGTGACCAATAAATGTTTTGGTTGAAAGCATCATCTGTTAATTAAGTTCCAAAGGACTGCATAAATAAAATCTGGATGAAACTTTCCATTCAGTTTTGAATGTAGGATGCACAGTATAAAATAATCCTTTGAAAAATATATTTCAGTAACTTTTTCCTTTAGGTTCACAGATTCTCTAACTTCTTACCTGATGAAAAATTCAAGTAATATCCACACTTTGTCTTTAACAAATTTTCTTTTCCCTTTTTGAGTTAATTACAAAGCCAGCAAACACATCTTCTTTGTATATAAAAGAATCCAAAGCAGAGCCATCTGCTGCTAAAGCTATATTTAAACTCTCCTTTCTTCTCTTTCTGAAACAAACACTGTTTCACAATTTCCAACTGTGACTGAAGCCACCAGTCTGTAGAAAGGCTGCCGAGGAATAAAACAAGCTCTGGAATCCAGGAAGAGGCAAACGGCACTGAGCAGGGAGGGGAAAGGACCAGTAGTCATGGGGATGGTTTTTCCTTCTCCGTGTGGCTTCCCTCCGCCCTGTCAAACACATCATCTTCCAACTGCATTTTCAATTATCTTATCTGTTCTGCAGTGCAAATGTTTTTCTAAGAACCTATGTTGAATTTCATATGTGTAAACATCTGCAGATGGCTTGTCGCTTTTTTAACCGAGGGAGATATGAAAATACACTACAGTAAGCCGCTTAGAAAGAGCATGCACATCCTATTAAGTGGTATCATTTACTCTATTGCAATTAAGTTCATGATATTTCCACTATAACTTGCTATTATAGCTTTTACTACAGAGATATAAAAATCATGGCATATTATACCAGCTCGTGCTGAAAAGGGAAATTATTATTATTACTGTTTTTCTAATAACAAGTCTACGCCTTTTGTAATCACTTGTTCATACAAAAAGTATTATGTATTTGCCTATTAAATAACTAGCGGGGATGTTTAAGGGAGCAGAAAGTAACTGGCCTTTCCTAGGACATGCTGTCTGGTACGTTGCTTTTTAAATTCCTCATTTCCTACCTGTGTCCCTTTACTCCCCAGAATCTGTCTCTTAGGCTGAACCATCCTCTGCCTCTTCAGTATGAGAAAGACAGAGGCAATAGAAAACAGTTCAGAGTTCGGATGTGTTTGTATGGAGACAGACTCAGGAAAAGTAGATGGGAATTCCCTGATAAACTGGAGAGTGGAAACTTCCATACAAAACGTTTGAGAGAGTACTGGTGGCTTACTTACTGTCTTACTGCTTTTGTTTTTAGAGGGAATGTTTCTGAAAAGCAGTAGGGTTTTTGGGATGAGTGACTCTGGTGCCATTCCTAGAGTATCAGGTTGGAGCTAATTATCTGAAAATGCTGTTAACTGTAATGCTATCATATTTGTAGAAAACGGGTGGAAAGAATCTCTGCGATCAGCCAGTCCTCCTGCTTCTCGTATACTTATATCTATTCTTGATGTATTTGGCTGACCTGTTTTTTAAGCATCAGTGGCAATCCTAGATTATGTATGCTAGTGCCTAATTTACTGTTAGGAAGTTTTTCTTAATAATTCCCCCTGAATTGCCCTCACTTCAGTTTAAGCCCATTGCTTTTTATTCTAAGAGTGGTCTGTGAATTCTGAAATTTTAACCAAAATACTATTATCAAGCCATATGAACATGCTTTTCTAAAATATTTCTAGCACTTGCTGATTTTGATTATGTCAAAAATATAATTGACATTATATATTGACTGCCTTTCCACAGTACTTTAGAGCTTCTGCTTGTTATTGTAGCTTAATCCAGGAAGTGAAATAAGACCTAAAAACAGAATGTGCTAGATATGCATCAAAATAAATCATAAAAATGCATCATGTGTTTATAAAGGCTATGTCAGTAAAATTAAATGATGTTCTGATTCCATTTATAAATTACAAGCAAAGGTGAGGCTGCTTATTTATCTGTTTCTACCATAGCACTGTAGGCAAGCTTCCACCTGAGGAAAGATTGGAAATGCATAATGTGCAATCTCATTGGTTTTACATTTATAGCATCTGCTGCCTTCCTCAACTTAATTGTATTGTAACCTGTTGTGAATTAGATCACATCTGACATCAGAGGCTTGCGAGTGTAGCTGCTCTCGGTCTGCTCCTACTTGACATCAAAGGTATCAGGTACTACGTGGAATCTATGGCTGTGTATGAAGGGATCAAGGTTTATTGTTTTCAGCCAACCTCTGTAGAGTCTGTTTGCCAAAAAGGTTAATGGATAGCAGAATTGTATTTACTTTATATAAGCCATCACATTATATCTAAATTGCTCAATGAAAGTGATTAAAATATAGCGTGAAGCAAACTTTATATGTATCCTGATAACAAAAAAATTACAAATATTACAGATAAGACTTCAATTGGCTAAGGAAAGCCAATTTCAAGTGTGAACTTAGTACCCTCACCTTTGTGGGATTTCAGCAGTTCAAAGGTAACTCTATATCCTAGGAACTGGTAGGAGTTTTGATAATGATTTTTAAGAGTTTAAATAGGGACTTCTCTCTCAGTTTACAACCTTCTCCCTCCCAACCCCCAAATCACTAAACTGATTCTCACTGTATTGAATCCCAGTCACTATCCTGATTAGCACCTCATCAGAATTCTTTCAATAAAAGACTGATCCTGAAAGCTTTCCAGGTATGCGATTCCTATTAAAGTCAATTGGAACATCATTTCCTATACTATACTGCAGCTGAAGGCGGGACCTCAGCTTGTGTAAATGTTCCAAAGCGAGCTTTAAACTAGGTAGCAATTAACCATTACACAGAGCTCCAGGCAATATCATCTGAACTAGCCAGCTTATAACTTATCTGGCTCCATGTTTATGAAGTGCAGTCTCATCTTGACTACAGTAGAGGCATACTATTCCTCTGGCTCCCAAACTGTGGCATGCAGACCATGGGCAGCATGAAAGCCCAGGGTAAGTGATTTTAGGGG